CATGCCATCCAATACCCAACCTGCCTTGTCCTGGGCGGGTATGCATTTCTCTAGACTTTGAAACACAAAGCCAGTCTTTCGCGGCTGGGTATTTGTGTCTGGAGTCATTATAAACTGTGCGGATCGCGCTTTTGCGCGATAAATCGATTGAGTTTCTGCCCTATCAGCTTTGGATGGTAGGATATGGCCTACCATGGCATTAACCGGGTAACGGGGAATTAGGGTTTGATTCCGGAGAGGGAGCCTTAGAAACGGCTACCACATCCAAGGAAGGCAGCAGGCGCGTAAATTACCCAATCCTGACACAGGGAGGTAGTGACAATAAATAACAATGCTCTGGCTCTTCGAGTCGGGCAATTGGAATGAGAACAATTTAAATCCCTTAACGAGGATCAATTGGAGGGCAAGTCTGGTGCCAGCAGCCGCGGTAATTCCAGCTCCAATAGCGTATATTAAAGTTGTTGCAGTTAAAAAGCTCGTAGTTGGATTTCTGTTTTGGATGTCCGGTCCGCTCCCTCTGGGAGTGTGTACTTATGGATATTCGAGGCATTTTTTGTGAGGCTGCCTTTCTGCCATTAAGTTGGTGGGTTGGTGGGCTTGCATCGTTTACTGTGAAAAAATTAGAGTGTTTAAAGCAGGCGTTTGCTCATTTGAATACATTAGCATGGAATAATAAGATACGGCCTTGGTGGTCTATTTTGTTGGTTTGCACACCAGGGTAATGATTAATAGGGACAGTTGGGGGTATTCATATTTCAGCGTCAGAGGTGAAATTCTTGGATCGCTGAAAGATGAGCTTAGGCGAAAGCATTTACCAAGGATGTTTTCATTAATCAAGAACGAAAGTTAGGGGATCGAAGATGATTAGATACCATCGTAGTCTTAACCCATAAACTATGCCGACTCGGGATTGGCAGTCGTTTACTTTAAATGACCTTGTCAGCACCGTATGAGAAATCAAAGTCTTTGGGTTCCGGGGGGAGTATGGTCGCAAGGCTGAAACTTAAATTTATTACAAATTTTACCTATAATAAATTATACTTTATATAAAAATGAATTATGTATTAATATTTCTTCAGATAAATTAATTCCTATTTTATTTTTTTTTAAAAATCATACAAATACACAATTTAAAGTATTATCTGAAATTTGTGCTGTTGATTATATTAATAAAGAAAAACGTTTTGAAATTATTTATAATTTATTAAGTATACGTTTTAATAGTCGTTTAAAGATTAAAATTACAATTAATGAATTACAACCTATAAATTCTATTATTAAAATATATAGAGCTGCAAATTGGTGTGAAAGAGAGGTTTGGGATATGTTTGGTATTTTTTTTTTAAATCATCCAGATTTAAGAAGAATTTTAACTGATTATGGTTTTGAAGGACATCCTTTACGTAAAGATTTCCCTTTAAGTGGTTTTTTAGAAGTTTTTTATAATGAATTAAAAAAAAGAGTTGTTTATGAACCTATTAATTTATCACAACAATATAGAGTATTTGAATTTAATAATCCTTGGGATAAAAAAATAAATATATAATATCTTATTTATTAAATTTATTAATTATTTTCGTTTTTAGGTAATTTTTCATTTCATATTATGAGATGGAACAAAAAATCATTATTTGCAGTTATTAATAATCATTTAATAGATTATCCTACTCCTATTAATTTAAATTATTTTTTTGAAGTGATGAACGAACGTCGTCGGCAGAACAGCTACACCGTCAAGCAGAGACGGGAAGCGTTCGAGCGGGTGGCTTTGGAGGGATGTAAGCCTACCGCTCGGGCGCTTAATATTCCATTAGGTATGTTGAAGGGCTGGAGAAAGAAGGCAAAGCTGCTGTTTGAGTTTAAGGGACCTCAAACTAGCAGAACGACAAAAGGACAAGGCGCAAAGACTAAACTCACATTTGAGCACGAATTGGTCACCTTCATGAAAGACGTCCGTCGGGATGAAGAGGTAAATTTGCTTTGTTATATTATTTATTGCAGATTCTAGCCTGTATATATAGTATTTGTGTACTGGAGGCATGATCGAGTATATGAAGATGGAGCAGGGGGCTTGGCTGGAGCAGTATTTAGCCGATAAATCATCTCCTGAGCGCGCATTGAGCGTGTTGATGCGTACGTGCCAGCGGTTTGCAGCTCGGTAAGCATCTCGTTTTCCAATATGTTGGTTTAATCAAACGTTTTAGCAATTTATCCTATTTTATTTGTGTTTTTAATCAATATTTATTGCTTACATATTTTTCTTAATGTTATAGCCATGGTTTTTCTGTTCAGAAACCGCAATTTACTAAAAAGGATGAAGATGCACTACAAGAAATCCAATTGAACTTTGCCATAGCGTTTTGGAAACAGCATTCTCACTTCCAGCAATCCGCCATATACAATGTCGACGAGACAGCAATATATTTGACACCCCACCCCACAAGATTTGGGCCCTCAAAGGCCGTCGTGGCTCCGCTAAAGTGAAGCACACGCAGAAAAACTCTGGTAGACTCACTGCAGTTCTCACTATTAGAGCGGATGGTAAGTTTTGTTTAATGATTTAATGATTATATTATGTTTAAACTAACCTATTTATCTTTTAGGGAAAAAACTACCAATACTGTTTATACTACGAGGAATGCCGGGCAGGACTGCAGCGGGGCTGCCGTAGCTTTAGCGTCAGAGGAAGACGTTCGACTCAAAGAGTCACTAATACTAAGTTCCTTATCCAAAGGACACTTACAGCCCAAGACCAGGGCTCAAAGTTAATACCTTAACTTTTATGCTTCAAAACCAGAAGTGTTTTATTTACTATTATTGCGGCCAAGCCGCCTAGGGGTAAATGTATCTCTTTAACTATCTAGCATAGTTAAACCTAATCAAATGCATAACGTGTGGCTTTCAGCCAACGTACTGAGAGACCTTGTTAACTCTCCAACTTATGTACTGAGAGTTTGTT